AATAGATGAACTATATCTTTGTAGGCAGAACTCTTTTCCACTGTCCATATTCATCCAACGATCTTCCACTTTTCATGTTCATTTTCACATTTCAGCCGCTAACCAACTCTTCTTTTTGAAGGAGTTAACACACTATTTTTCAAGTATAAATTTCATTTTTCATTGACATTACATTTATCACTCTTTCAATGACTTGTGTATTGATAATCGAAAACTAAAATCACCACAACACTGCATCAATTCATCCTCTCAGATTTTCTAGGATGAAACATTACATGAAAAATATAGTCAATCCAATATTCCTTCTAAAATGCATTTGAAGAGATGAAAAGATTCAACCTTATATCAATATTTATAAACTCTTTTGAAACTTTATCTTATGCATGAATATCAATACTATTATCTCTTAAATATCAATACTATTATCTCTTAAATACTAACTTAAATTTTTATGCCAAACATAATTCACATTAACAAAATTTATTTGTAAGATGAAAGAAGTTAATCTTGAAAAAAAATCAAACTCTATCTTTAATTTGTGTTACTTTGATTTTTACTCATTGTATTTATTACTATTGCAAAATCAATTCGTTGCCCATGACCATATCCCATAAGAAGAGGATGAGAATGACTTGAAGTAAGGCACTAGCAAGCTACCAACACAACTGGCAGAGGCATAAAAAAGTGTTGATATTAATTAATAGATTCAGCAAGCGTGACTTGCCCTATTTTAACTTATATCACAGACCAAGTACTGCCTCAGAAAAAAGGCCCTCACAGAATTAGGACTTTTGGAATGTGTTTCTTAATATCATAGCCCCATCTCTGTCTCCAAAAATAATTACACGTTTTTCTTTCAACAAAACAACCGTTACTCTGCAGACATTTTGTTTTTTCTTACCCCAACCCTTCCATATACAATTATCTTACTCCAACTTAACCAAATTTATGCGTTCAAATCTAACTTGAACATCTTAATATTTGGTTTATATCTCAGTTGACACATACAGCTGGTAGCACAAAGGATAAACATGATAAAAAAGTTGAGTTGCTTCTTTTAATTTCTGATCTGACATTGGGAAATGAACATGCACAATAACTAAACAAGAAGAAATAATCAAATAAACTTAGGTTTAGATATTACCACAGCCAATAAGATGATACTAGTTGCTTACAAAATGGGAGACCAAAACGGAGATGATGCCAAATCCAACAGTTTTTGACTGTTCAAGAAAATGCTCATCTCTTTGACTGGTCCATGTTACAAACTTTCCATCACTCATAATCAGCCACGTGTGATAACCCCATTATGTTAACATTTCAAAAAATGTTGAACCACGTGAGTGACAACTATGTCCTTTGCTACCTCCAAGTTTTTTTTAAACTAAAAAATAATAGTAAAGTACTATGTAGTAAATATTACCAGTACCTTTTCTGTCCTTTTCTGCATGTTATTACAGCCTTTTCTAATTCTTGGTCACGAGTGAGGACCGACTAATTCTTACTTCTTAACACTCTTTCTACCCTTCAAGACTATGGCCTATTTCTGGAACATTTGAAATATATATAAAACCCTAATTCATTTAAAAAATAAGAATATAGTTGTTCTATAATTTTAGGCGATTCATTATTCAAATTGCACAAACAAATAATATTTGTAAAACTTCTATTATAATATATTAAATTTGATACATCAGATATCAGATTATATTACGACACACATGATATATTAAATAGATTATATTTGTCACATTAATTAAAATCTGATATGTCATCTTTAAAATTGAATCATTTAACAAATTTACACAATTGTATTTCAACTTTTATTTCAAAAATTATATGTTACAAAAATTTTATTATTAAATATCTCACAAGAATTAATTACAATAGAATTATTACTCTTTATATAATTCAGTTTTTTCATCTTACATTTCAAAATAATATTAAGTACACAATTTTGTTAATAACTACACTATTCTATTTTTATGAAGTCTAATATAAAAAAATATATAATAAATACTCTATTTTATTAAATTACAAAATATCACAAAAAAAAAAGATCATTCAAAAATAAAAATAAAAAACTGATGACTAACAAAAAAAAGTTATATTAAATATTTAAAATTCTTACAAAATTTAATAATTACAATAAATTTATTAGTTGATCAATAGAAATTAATAAAATACAATTACAGTGAAAAATTTAATCCAAAAATCATATGTTACAAAAATCTTATTATTATATATTATAGAAGAGTTAATCACAACTACACACAATTATCACTCTTTATAAAATTCAATCTTTTTACCTTACACCTAAAAATAATAATAACTTAATAACTACACTATTTCTTCAGTCTTTAGAGTCTAATATCTAAAAAATATAATAATTACACTATTTTGTTAAATTACAAAACATTTAGCACAAAAATAAACCGATCATTTAAAAATATAAATAAATAAATGATGGCTGACAGATAACTGATATTAAATACCTAAAATTCTTACAAAATTTAAAAACTACAATAATTTTATTAGTTGATCTATTTTGTAACTAATTTGAATTTTATTTACAAATTAATAAAATAAAAAATCATCAAATAGAAATATTTTGGTTTCTAAATATTAAAAAAATTCATGTGATCAAACTTTTTAATAGCAAATCATCATATTATTTGATAAACTTTTATAAACTAATTTAATTTATTTTTTAAGTTTTAAAATTTTAAAATCCTAATGTATAATTTAAAAACACGATATACACTTCCTCATTCACATGAAATATTCCTAATATCTACAAATAACAAACTTACTTTAAACTAAAACAAAATTGCCATAAAATACAAAACATTTAACATATTTTAGTCCAAAAAAAACAATTGAGTAATTTCAAAATAATTTTGTAATTTCTTTTTTTATTTAAAATAAAAACTTGAAATTAACTCAATACAATTGTACAATATAAAACATATATAAAACATATATAAAACAATTAAAAATCTCTATATTTTATAAAAACAACAAAATATTATTAATTATAATATTCAAATAAATACAAAATTGATAAAAAAATGTTAAAACCTCGTTGCAATGGGTGGGTGACCCATATCGTATTATATTAATTTTGGGTACTTTGAACTATTCTATTACCATTTTTTTTTTCTTCTTAAACTTGGTATTTAATCTGTAACCGATTAATTTTAGATCAATTTCATCGTCCGTTAAAATACATAGATTAATAGTATTTAGTGAGATTTAAATTTGAGATTGTAGTTTTAAATTGTGGACCATATCAGGTGATACAACTAGAATATTACAATTACGGTACTGTCTGTATCCATATCAAACTACAATTGTGGTGTGATTGTAAATTACAATAAAAACTGTATTATACCACCGCAACAACGGTAACATTGTAATAGCCGCATTATATCGCATTAGACCGCAAGAGATTATGTAATGCTTACAAAAATTACTTGATCAACCTTCCTTCTTAATTATATAATAAATTTAAAGTATGTGTGAAATAGATTAGACATAACGGCGGATTGTTAATGAAATATATATAAAATTCAAAGAGAAAATAGAAAATATCTTTAACCTAAAATAAATAATAAAGCATAATATTTTGTGTTTATAAAATACAAATTCGCACAACATCAACCGCAATTTACATGGCAATATTGGCAATAAATAACTGCAATAATAGTGACCGCAACCGTATCTGCAGCGCAAACAACTAGAATTTAAAACCAGAAATTTAGAGGATGAGCACACTTTCGTTCAAGTACTAATAGTAATATTGATCCATCGGTATCGCCAGCTCATTCCATTAGTTTTGGTTAGTAATAATATTTGAGTCAAAGCTAGCTTGGTCAATAATACCATAGCAGTGCTGTTCTCTGCATGCATGCCACTGTAACCGTAACTCTGTCACTTTATTTACTCATGAAACTCTATTCAAAATAGTTTTTTGATTCATTAATTTAATCTCTTCAATGTCACTGCTGTTGCTTTCTGTGCCACAAATGCTTCTAGCATAAACCCTTTCTTTGATTGGTTTTGCAGCAAGCCAACAACACTAAACTATGATATTTAAAATGAATTTTACTAAGATACTATACTATACTCTAGGCCATTTATTTGTGACCGACAAACTCCAGCTATCGCCAACAACTGTAAAAAAAAAAATGGATAATGCTAATGCATGTGTTAGTTCTTCGAATCTTCTCAAGAGTTTGTTTAACATAATTACTACTGTGAAAAACAAGGGAATGGTCTAAAAAGGAGAGCTTTGCATTTTCATTTGTAATTTGCCAGTTACCATTAAACTACACTAGTTATGAATAGACATTTTCTTGGCACTTTCCTTCACTTGTGTCCAAGGAATAGTAGCAACATAACTGGAGAGACTGTACATGTATGTTGAAGATTGACCGTCATTCAATGCCAAATTAACATGTCATGACAAAACATCATGTCACCGGCATGATATCTAAATGATACTCAATCTGTCTCATGTTTCAATTTCTCAAATCCTCTAAAACCAAATGATATACACTCCTTCAGACTAAAATAAATCAAAATAGACACTCCCCCACTTATGAACACATGTTCATGCTATATATTATTCGACGTGGGACTCTTAACATATAGTTATATCTTTTAAAATTGTATTAGAAAAAGTAAAAAGTAATTATTAAATATAAAAAATAATAAAACCTTAGGAAAATACAGTGTAAGTTGTAACTTTTAGGATAGGAATAATATTTCTTACATATATATTATACTATTTTTTTTATATGTAAAAAAATTAGAAATGAAAAAATCAAAAGAAGATGCCTTGTGTGACATATATAAATACAAGCATCTCGTGGTAAGTGGGGTTACAAGAGTGAGAAAAAGGGGGGGTCCCAACTAGAATTTATTGTTCCAACTTCTCACATATCCATTTTGTTATTCTTTTTAATTCAAATTTATAGACAATGTTCTAAAATCTCATGGCAAGTTTAGACATGATGTACAACTCATCGGAACAAAAGGGTCATCATCACAATCATCCTCATCATTGTGCTCCAATGAGTCCAAGAATCTCTTTCTCAAATGACTTTGTAGATCTCCAACAAGCCATGAAACAAGAAAGAGGTTCCAAATCCAACCACTCACAACCAGTTTCCTCAGATTTTGAATTTTCTGTCACTAATTACTCAATGATGAGTGCTGATGAGCTTTTCTCTAAGGGAAGATTGTTACCTTACAAAGATAATAAGATGCAAAGAGGTGCTACTACTACTCTTAAACAAGAACTTCTTCATAATGATGATGAATATGATGGTTTTTCTTTAAGGCCTCCTAAGGGTAGATGGAAGGGACTTTTAGGTCTTAGAAAAAGTCACATTGGCTCTAAAAAAGCTGAGAAAAATGAAGCTAATTCTCAGGTAATTATAATTATTTTCTATTTAATTTTCTCCATTTTTTTTATTTTTATTATTTAATTTGTATTTTTTTTTTTGGTGTAAAATAGGAAATGGTGAACGAAGGAAGCTCAAGTTATTAAGATTTGGAAATTGGCATATTTAGAGGAATGAGATAAGTGAAGTGAATCTGTGTTAGGATTTTGCTTGTTAATTTGGATTATTGTTTTGTTCTCTTGTAATTTCTGTTAGATCCCTTAGGAATTAGGATCTGAGTATTTTGTTGTACAAATTATTTGCATTTTGTGTTTAAGTATTTGACAACTTTTTGACTCTAAAAGAAAAATCTCCTTTACTGTTAGATTTTTCACTTATCTTTTTCTTGAATGAAATTCACAAATGTAGATTGGTATTAAATGTTTATGTTTGTGTTTGTAAGGTTAGTTTAGTTTTTGATTAATTAATTGATTATCTTCTGCAATATATAACAGTGTTCTTGCTTCAATATATGAGTATCTTTTATTGTGCTACTACAATATTTTTTGGATAGATAAACATTAGTAATCAATTGTTAATTATTATTTTTAGGTTAGTAATTTTAGTTTTAATTTAAGTTCAAATTTAGGTTATCCAGCTCGTTATGTCTTTTAATTCAAATCTTTTCAACTACATATTCATCCTCTATAACCTTTTTACTAGACTTTTTGAAATGTAGCATCAATATCAAGATAAGTCAACTAACCAAGTGTTTCACCTCAATAACTTTTTGACTAATCAATGCACAAATTTTTAAAATATTTTTTTAATACTAAATTGGTCATTCAAGTTATACAACTTATTAACTATTGTCATTTTTTATCCAACTCTCTTAAGAGTGTGACATGACCGTTAGAAGCTCCCTTGTATTCTAGATATCTTGTCCTAACGTGTGGTGTTATACTTTAAGGTGGATCATTCATATGAATAAGGGTTTGTTTGAATTGGCAGGTGAATAGAATTTTTTTAGTACAATTGATTTTAAAAGAATTGAAATTTAGTAAAATTGATTTATATTTGGATACATTTATATAAAAGTAAGTTAAATAATAAATTTTAGTGTAAAATGTTAAGTATTAATAAGTGTGAGTAGTATGGATAATAGTCTCACATTGAATAAGAATGTGGTGACTTAAGCATTTATAAGTGAGAGAATCCATAAACCTATCACCTTAAAGTTTTGGGTGAATATGTGGTGTGTCTCTTACAGAGGTGTTGCTCTAAAAAGAAGTTTCACAATGTTCAATCCTCCCTAGTTGAAAAATCTCTCATAACAGTGGTAGCATGAGCCATTGGTTCGAGTGAGACACAAACTTACTTGTATCGAAAGTATCCCCACATATCGTAGGTTGAGTGTCTCATTGAAGAGTGTCAGCGGTGGTACAAGGGTGTCGTTGCACAGTTGAAGCTTCCGCTTAAGGGGAGCATTGTAGAAGCATTGTGGATAGAATCAATTCTACTTTTGATAAAACAAACATCTCAAAATTATCCAGAATCAGTTCTATACCTCTAAAATTGATCATGGATCTTCCAAAAGTCAATCAAACATGCTATAAGTTCTTTTTAAAAGATATGGCCTTTCTCTCAAACGATAGACTTTGCAATACCATGTATGTGATAGATCTCCATAGAAAAATTTAAAGTTATATATGAGGCTCATAACATTCTTGTAAAGCGAAGAGGTACTCAAACTTTTGATGGTTTATCATGAAGAGGAAGCATACATATTAAATCAAACACTCACCTATAGGTTAAAGACTCACTTAAACAAGTAAGAGAGACATCACATATTCATCCAAAACCTTAAGATGATAGGTGTATAGGTCCTCTTACTTATAAAATGTTCAACCTCCACTTTTCTAAACAATGTGGGACTTAGAACTCACATTTGTTTCTCCACACAACTGACACTTGTTTCTCAACAACTTTATCAAATGGCTAGAAATTACTCAGATAGTAGTGTATTCAAACGACATTGGTATGTGTGAATTTCGTAGCTGAACCAAAAATAGGTAGAGATTGAATGAAATAGAATTGTGATGTGATGGGGCGAGCTTGGTACGAAGGAGCATGGTGTACATGCAAGGTTAACATTACAACGTCAAGTCAGTGAATGAGTCAGAAAGTAGTTTTAGTGTGAATGAGAGAGTACCTAAAATGACACGCTTTGTGATTTATATAACGTGAGCGGTCAAACCCGTCTCCGTGAGATTTGACGCCTCGTGTGGGTTTTTGTCTAATTAGATCCAACAGTGAGAAATATGTTAGAGGTCAGAATCACATGTCTTCGGTTAGGCTGATGCCTCACCTGTTTTGTACGTCTTTCCGTGCAATGCTTGTTATTGAGTCTTTCATCGTGGGACTTGCGAGTTTCCAGGAAAAATCTATCCTCAATCCATTGTTCCTACTCGTAGAACGGAGACTCGTTATGCATGCCTTCAGTCTAGTTTATAGTAGAAGAAAATGGAATGCATTTATGGGACATCAATAACATTAGAAACATGCACATTGAATATCTCCGTCATGATTAAGAAATATTTTATAGGGGAGTATCGGTGTGTGGCCTTGTGTTTGATTAAATAATATGTCTTCTGGCAATCGGTATTATAATGTTCTGAACAACCTGAAGCAAGATATCAGATGTTGGTGGTGATGTCCGTGCTTCCCAATGTCTACTATTGTAGATCATACGGTCGTCTTTATTAGAGGATATACGAGGAGTTATGAGGTTACCATATCCTTTTTCTTCACCTGTGAATCTTTATAGCTCTTTTTCAATGATTGCAACTTCTTTCATCTTCGTCATTAATGTCTGATTGACCATCATTTTAACGCATTTGCGCCACCTCTTATGGCAAAGCACACAACGTGCTTGTCATCAAGTTCATCTTTTTGAAGGTAATGCCTCGACATTTTTCTTTACTTCTATATTTGTTTGCCTTACTTGGGTTTCTAGAGAAGAGGGGTATGGAAGGCTTGAAAGAGAAAATCACCATCGATGGTGGAACATTGAATGGAAATATCTACTCTAAAAAGATATTAGGGTTTTGGTCATTCCTGTATTGCACTTGGAGAAATCCCTCGCCATAGTTAGTTGTTTTTATCAACCATTTGCTTCTATTTATGGTTGTTCTTTTTATATGTTGGAAGTCGTCTTAAAATAGACAACTCTTGCACAGGAGCCTGGAACCTAACATGAGATAATTCAGCCATGTTGGCGGTTCAAGAGACATTGGATACAATTTATGTCTTCATCGACAAGGATGGTATGGATCATTCCTTCACCAAGGTGGGTCCTCCCTCAGACAAGGGGTGCTTCACGCTAAAAATAATAAGATGATATGCAACAAATATCATGGGTGGGTTGAATCTTTTCATGAATGCAAATTTTCTTTGATAGCTTTCCTTCTTTCTTTTAATGACTTCGAAATGGGAGTTCTAAATCACTTGGAGTTTTCTTCTTCACAAATGCATCTGATAATTTGAGATCACATCAAAGTCTTCCACCATTGATGTGAGTGCAAGAAAAATGTCTCAACCTTGACGCTCTTTTTTCATCTCTTTAAAGTCCAACACATCTTTGTTGACTCGGTGCAGGGTCGGGGTCTAATTTCTCTAAGGCAGAATAGTAATATTTTTAATATTTATTCTGATACTGAAAAGAAATTCAAAGATCAATATTACTTGGTTACCCACTTATCGAGGTGGCTCACACTAGCTTGAGAGATAGTGTATTTATAAGAGTTTCCGATAGCTATGATTTTATTAGAAAATGTCATTGCCCGTTAGTTAAAACGTGTACAGTTGAACCCATATTTTTAAAGGAGACGCGAGTCATTAACGACTAAGACTTTCTCCTTATCCAAGACACGCTTTATCCTAAATTTTCTCTCTAGAGACGAGGAAAACTTAAGAGCGAGGCAGTACCTCCCTTCAGACGACCTCGCGTTGTCGCTTTTTTCTAGGAAAGTCCTAAGTTGTTGCCTTATGCAAAGTTATTTGTATATATAATACTACAATTTTAAAAATTAGATTCTCTATTAATTTAACAAAAAATATATTTTTAAAATTTTAATTTTAAATTTACATGCAATTTCTTTTATTTATTGTATTTTATATGCAAATTCACATGTGATTTCTTTTGTTTTTGAAGAAAATTTTCAGGATATGCGTTCAAAAAGGCCCTCTCAGAAAGGGATAAATTTGAATTTTTATGAGGTGTCTCGGAAATATATAGGGGTTGATTTAAACATTTTTTTCTTATGCCATTTTGTTTTATTTTCGTCCTATATTCATATTTGAGTTGATCTAAATAAAGACTAATATGAATATTATGATAACCTATTTTTATAAGAATCGGTTTTATAAGGATTAAAATAAAATAGAAAAAACTAAAAACAAAAAATATATTATATTTAAAAGAAAAAATATAAATGTTATTAAAAAGCTATATTTTTATTGGAATTAAATTATATCTGACCCTAATTTAATTCTCGGTCATCCAAACCATATGTTTTTTCATCCTTTTTCTTTTATGAGCTGCAAGTAGCAGGTTATATATCCAAGTAGCTGGTTTGAATAGATTGATGGACCAAAAAGAAACCCTTTACTGGACTGGACAGAGCAACCTAGCCCTAGTTTTAGAGGACCACTAAAATACAAAGCCATTAGAAGTAGAACATATGGTACGAAACAAAAAGTGAAAGCTTTCTTTTTCAACAAAACATCAAACTCTTCTAAAAATATTTAACATACTTTTGACACATTTCTTTAAATCTTTATTTATTTTTTGAAAAAGTCGCATATGTAATTTGGGTCTATTATTATTTCTTCAAGTCAATTAAGTTTCACTATATTTAAAGGTGTTTAATTTATGTATATTGTCTATGTATAATATTTTGTAAGTGTACGATTATGAAAGTTGTTATATTAAAATTCAAACGTTTTATATGATCCGTAAATGGATGAAATCCTTTTTAAAATTAAGCATGTTTTATTTTATATATATATATATATATATATATATATATATATATATATATATATATATATATATATATATATATATATATATATATATATATATATATATATATATATATATATA